AAAGAAAATAAGAGAGAAGCGCAGACGGAAAAGTGGCGAGAGCGCAGATGGAAAGGCTACGTCGTACTGCTAAGATAGTGTGCATGCGGAGGAATGCAGACGGCAGGACGGATTGCTCAGACACCACTCAATCACTGGGATACGGCAACCTTCCATCGAATAATTGCTACTAATGGGGCAATGGTTGGACATAAAATCAATGCAGAAGCAAATTAGCATGTTTAAAACTTACTTACCTGTGAAAAAGAAGCGCGCAGTTGAGAATATTAACCGAAATTAGCCGGATTCAGCTCAAAACAGCTGATAAATTTCGATTGATCGACCGTGGCGAGAGCGCAGACGGAAAAGTGGCGAGAGCGCAGATGGAAAGGCTACGTCGTACTGCTAAGATAGTGTGCATGCGGAGGAATGCAGACGGCAGGACGGATTGCTCAGACACCACTCAATCACTGGGATACGGCAACCTTCCATCCCCGCGTTGTCGCGGCCGCAGCGCTGGTACGTCCGTGGGACCGCCCCCTCAACCGGTCGGATATGGACTGTACCAACAGGCATGGTGTTTTGATTGATGTGGCTTCGCATAGGCAAGTTGGAAGAACAGCAGCCAAAGGAGAATGATCTTCAAAAATGAAAAGCCAACAGCAAACAGCTCGCCCAAGTCACCAACTGAACTAGTGGGCGTAACGCTTTCGGGGCGGAGTGCTTCGGAAGTCCTGCTCAGCAACCAGGCACCTTTCGTCGTGAAAGCGCCACACTTCGCTTCCTTGCCAAGTAACTGCTTCGTGTGGTGCATGTACGCCCCGATCTGGTCATTCCTTATCGCAATTGCTTCCAATAAGCCGTATTATAACCTTGTTGATAAATTTCTACACGCGAAACGTCAACAAGGCTCAAGCGTGGAATCAGTTGATGAATTCTGCTTACTGGGACAACTTCTCTATTTTTCCTAAAATATGACGAGTTTCTCGCCCATTTTCCGAGCTATTTTGCCATTTAGTGCCTCATATAGTTCCCTATAGTGTCTCAATTATGCTCAGCGAATGCAACTGAACTTGTTTTTGTTACTCCGTTGAAGGCACGCCATGACATGTTGAAAGCGCTCTTGCACGGTTGATAAAAGTTTATCCGTACACGTTCACCACTTCTCGAATACTATGCTGTAGTTCCATTTCTTTCTATGCACTACCATAACCCAGTCTCCGCCTGGTTCACGATGGCAACTGATGCCTTGAATATAAACATTTCTGTATAGGGAGAAAAACGCTCAACGGTGGCGCGTGCTGGTGACTTCAGAATGACGTCGCAACTACAGCAGGCTCGAAGGAACGGCGAGCAGGGACCAGCGCCGCTGCCATTTCGCTCAAATAGCGCTGGGTTTCTGTCACCATACCAACTGGTCCAATCAGTTATGTCGCGAGCTAAATGGTCATGATATGTCTAGGGATTATGCTCGCTTTAGGAAAACAATTTTTTGGGAAATGTAAATAAAGTCTTGGCTTTTATGTGCAAATCCTTTAGAGTACACAGCCACGTTTGAAGCGAGGGATTGCGATAAGATTTTTGGGTTCATAGTGGAAGTGGGGATGCTGAATAATGCCCCAGTGGCGAAAAAAGCAAAGAAATCCGTCAAGAAGCGCAAAATGGGACCCCTTTCTTTGCCCGTTGACCTCCGATAATGGACGAGCTAGCAACCAATTAAGAGGTCGTTTGCACATGTTAACCGATAGCCGCTATCATTTCCAGCAAAGATCATGCTTTGATTGATGGCGCATTCCATGGGGAAAGCTTATAGGACGCACACTCTAAGTGGAGTACCTCATATAAGTGATAGGAATAACGATCCTGCTAGTCACATTAATGGGCGGAGCACAGAGAGTATTGACAGCCCCAGGGCACTCAACTGACGCGCCTTTAGCCACAAAAGGCCACAGCTAGCTTCCCTTAAGCCCCTGACTACTGCATCCACTCGTGCATGCATTTCTATGCTTGCACACGCCTTCTGTCGTAATATCTCGCTTTAAAGGGCGATCTTCATATTGGGAAAACAACCCATTTCAAATTAAGTTAGAGATGGTGAGTGGTACACGAAAGAAGGAAAAACCATGAAAACGGCCCAGAACCCGAGAAATGGGACCCCTTCCTTGCCCGTTGATTTGCGCATTGATGCGACTCTCATCGCTGTGCCCTCTTCAACACTACGCTCTCTGCTATCTAATCACTCGCCACGTATAGACCTGCGGCGAGTGATTAGATGGTCGGTGGGCGTACACCGGCCAACCGCGCCAAGATTGAGCCATGCTGGAGCGCCGAGTTTCGCTGCCAATTGCGCGTTGGTCAGCACCCTCAGGAGGTCCGCCTGTATCCCAACTAGGCCATTTCCCC